AATGGAGACGTGAATCTAGAATTCTTTTTACTGACATATTTAGATTCATGTTAAACTCCCCAATGTATTAAAATATACATTTTAACCATTTGTATGCCATAAGCCTCTAGAGACGCAAGCGGTGGACCTTTTTTAATTAAATTCAAAATATTGTGGCAGTTAACTGGTTAATTTTCCGGTAATTCACGACTAAGACACGGATTTTTAATACTTTTTTTCAGGTCAGTCAGTTTCATTATTCAATTGCATCTATCTGGTTTGCAAGATGCTGGGCTACATAGATCACTCATACACACACACACACACACACACACACACACACAAACACATAAGGCACCAGTGCTGATTACAAAGGAGGTGAAATCTGGGAAAGATGGCTCTGTAATTAAGAACTTGAATTGATAGTGTAAGATGTAGTTTGTGTGTTGAAGTTAGAATATCTGTAGAATCAAATATGACTTTAAAAAACAACAACTTTATCATAGAAAGTCCAAATACTGTCACTATTGTTTGAATCAAGAAGAAAGTAATACCCCCATAGATGAGAAATAGCAGTGCTTTTTTTCAGAGCCATCCCATGTCTGCTCTTACAGTGCTTACAAATGGAAATAAATAACATTATAGTTCAGAAGAAATGAAACAACAAATGAAAAATGATATAGACACATTCCATCTCTGAAGACCTTGTGTTCTGCTATAATTATGAGAAGGATTGCTCTTTTCTGAATATCCCTATCCAGAAATGTCCCCAAGAAAATACCCCAGGCTTTAATAGGATAGTGGAATAACTGGAATCCAAAAACAGTTGAGCAGGGAGCAGGAGGTATCAGGGAATAGAAGAGACATCTCAGCGTATCCCTTTGATGAGATGTGAAGACTGATGATGGATTGCTTTTACTACTGTCTCTCATAATTTAGTTTTACAATTATGTAATGAAAAAAATGGCATTTTATGAGAAAAACAATGCTGTAATGTTAAATTAAGCATAGTTATGAAAGAGAGGGAGGCCTCCTGAATAATTTAACAGAGTGATTATTCAGCTCTTCTCCTTTCATTCTCTGTAATCTCTCTCTATGACCAAAATTTTCCTCTCTAATGATGGCTCAAATTCTTAGCTCTGTTTATTCAGAACAGACTTCCCTCTTCTTCTACAAACCGGCAAATAATATATCCCTTCTTACCTGACACTTCCTCCTGAACAGGCTCCAGTCACTTCAGACTGGACTGATTGTATCCTCCCTACTCTTGCTGTAATTTCTGGTCATACTGAGAAGTGTTGCAACACTTCACCCTTGACCTTCACCATAAAGAATCCAAATCTCTGTACACTAAGAGACATAAACGCTAATGATTATTTTAGGCTTGGTTTCTCAAAGTGGTTTTTGTTCATGTAGCAAATAATGGTATAATTCTCTATAGCCTCTACAGATATTCAAAAATAAAAAGTGTGGACTCTTCTCATCATGTTGGCAAAAACTTTATGTGGTAAGGTTATCTTCTATTAAAGCGGCATTTCCTTTGTAGATAGGTAGGTAGAAAATGGTTACGAGTAGATATGCAGACAGAGGGCAAAGAAATAGAGAAACTTACAAAGAGCTATAGATGTTAGTGTTTTATAAAATGAAGGAATAAGTGGATGAATGAGTTATTGGTTCTCAGTGGGGTAGAAAGGCATCTCAGCTGAGGGCTCTTTCTCAGTCTACTGTAAACATGGCTTGAGTTGTAGAGAACCATCCTATTTTCAATATTGCTCTATTTTTTTAATTTAAAATTTTTATTGATTTCAGAGAGAAAGAGAGAGGGAAAGAGGAAGAGATAGAAACATCAATGATGAGAGAATCATTGATCGGCTGCCTCCTGCACACCCCCACTGGGGATTGAGCCTGCAACCCAAGCACATGCCCTGACTGGGAATCAAATCGTGACATCCTGGTTCATAGGTCGACAGTAAACCACTGAGCCACGCTGGCTGGGCAGCCTCAATCATTTTTTAACATCGGTTTCTTCCAGTCTTTTCCATGTGGAATTATACCAATGCTCAAACTGCAGGATTTCCCACAAAGGAGCAGGTATCCTTAGGGCAGTGATGGCGAACCTACGACACGCGTGTCAGAGGTGACACGCGAACTCATTTTTTTGGTTGATTTTTCTTTGTTAAATGGCATTTAAATATATAAAATAAATATCAAAAATATAAGTCTTTGTTTTACTATGGTTGCAAATATCAAAAAATTTCTGTATGTGACACGGCACCAGAGTTAAGTTAGGGTTTTTCAAAATGCTGACATGCTGAGCTCAAAAGGTTCGCCATCACTGCCTTAGGGCAATTTCCTGATTAGGGTGGCTCTTCACAAGGCCACACTCTTTACCCCCTTTTTCTGAGGCAGTTGGTTTTAAGGGAGAGTGGTGAGTTGTGAATGCCATAAACTATCACAGGTCTGGGAGCTGGCACTGGGCCCGCCATGGCTTGATTCCAATCCTTAGCTTTCCTAAAGATGAATGCTTGGTTCCAGGCTTATAAAAGCAACACTCTGGCAGAGACCGAAACTACACGCAAACTACAATTTCGGGGATTTGAGAAACCATAGAAATTGGTTTTTCTTTCCATTTCTAAAAGTGGAGAAATGGAGAGTATTTAAAGAGATTTTCTGATTAAGTGGCTCCTTGACTAAAGCTTACTGTCACCAGGGCCAGTATTAACTGTCACGTCCCCAGACACCAGGGGTAAGGAAAGTGTGTTCTGAGTATTTCCCTGCTGGAAACCCTCTCTCCAATTCTGCCTTCCATCCCCTACCAGGAGGCAGCAATCTCGTGCTCTATTGTTTTCACTTTTCATCCCCTTCCCTCATCAAAACCTGTTTTCAGAAAGCAAAACCAGGACAGGGGCTGTGCTGGAAGAAGAACAAGAAGCATTTGTTTGGGGAAGGGGCACACCTAAAAATAATCCACAGCCAAATCCAAGACCAAAGTGGGTAGAGGGTTGAGTGGATTATACTTTGGGGCAAGGCAGAGGAAATAGGCTATGTATGTAGTTGTTTTGGATGAATTCCCAGCCTTGTGTTTATGTGCAGGGGGTCCTCCTTGGAAACTCGGGATTCCTGGATATTAGGTACTTTCATTGTTCTTATGGAGAGAACTAACACTTACCAAGCGCTTTTCCTGTGACAGGCACTGTGCTAAGGGCTTTACTTGCATTATTTTATTGAATTCTTGCCAACAAGCCTATGGTGTAAGCACTATGTTTATCTTTATCACTTGTTTAAGCTTCTAGCGGACTATGTATTGAATCCAGGCTTTGAATCTGACTCTGGCTGATTCTAGAGACAACGCCCATCCTAAACAGCCATATGGCCTCCATATGGTAGAGTGTTGGATTAACATAAAGACCATATTTGACATACAGCAACACTCTCCAGTGTCTAAGTGAATAGAATGGGTCCTCCTCAAAACCCTCCCTCATCTAAGGCTATTCTCCCGAGACATTCAGCGATCCTTATGCCTCCCTGAGTTCTGTGATGAGAATTTATCTATTTTGATATCTTGGTATTTAATTAACTAGCTTTGGCCTGCAGGATCTGTCTCTGTAATATCAGCTATGGGATGAATCTAATATACATTTTAATCAAATCCAGAAGAGCCTAATAAAGTCAGCCTCAAATAGGTATGTCCATAAAGAAAACTATTACAATGGCATGGGTGCTAACAATTATAAATTTTGTCATCTCCTAATAACATGCCACATGGACCAAATTCTCCACCAGGATTCCTGAATCCCCAATAAATTGAACACATTGAGCAAAGTTCCTAAAATGATTTCTCCTAATTATTGGAGTGTGATGCTTAACTTCATTTCTAATTCCCTGAACTGTGTTCTAGAATACATCAATATTGAATCAATGTTGCCTTGGGTCTCATAAGCCCAGAGACTCATGCACTATCACACCCTTTATTTTCATTCAAACGTTCAACACAGAATCATTGATCATCTACTCTGGGCCATGCCTTGGCACCAAACAATGAACAGAGCCGGCACAGTCCCTCAGGAAGCTTATGGTCCAAAGTGGGAGCAGAGTCATGCTGCAGTGTGGAGGGTACTAACCATGGAAGTGTCCCATTCCACCTCCTAACAAACTTCACTTTCCAGCCACATTTTTAATCTTAATAAAAAACACTTTAGGGCCATTCACTCAGGTGAAAGTGCTCTAGGATCTCACTTAGTCACTCAAAAGTCCCCAATAATGGTCTCCTCATCTTTTTCCTCAGTCTTTTTTCTTCTTGCCCTCCTTGTCCTATCTGGTCCTCTTGAAACCCACCTTATTCTTAAAAAAATTTCTTCTTGGCTCCTACAATTCTCAGCTATCCTAATCTTTTTTATACCTAACGTCTTCTGATTTTTCCAGCCTAAAATTGTGTGTTCTTTACATGCTTTGATTCTGATAATTTCGCTGTTCTTTCTCTCTATCCTCTCTCTGCTTCCCTTGTATAGATGGATGATATCAAAGCAGTATCTTTCCATCTGCTGCATATTTCCACAAAGATATCTCAATCATTACTTTAAACTCAATATTGTAAATTCAAAATCAATAATTGTATCTCTATGACAATGGGATGCACTGTCTTATCTCTATTAATGATGTCCTATATTTCAGTTCTACAGGTATTTGATTAATGAACAAATATTAGAAAAGCATCTTAAGCACATTTTTTTTTCTAGTCACTTAGAAGGCAGGCAGGGACAAAGTCTGCGCTTTTTCATAATTGTTACTTTTCAAAATTTCTATCATCAACAGAGTTAAATGTATCCAAAAAATATTCAATCTAAAAAATACACACTTAGCCAACACAATGATTGGCAAAGCAGTAGAGCACATGTTTGAGATGAAGGATGGCTCTAAAGATAAATGAAGGGTAATGGTCTTAGCACGGTGTCCTATAATGAACACATGGTTTTACATCACCTATGAGAAAGACTCTGTCTTGTTCATGTACCATCTCGTAGATGGTTATAAAGAAGATGACATTCACATTATGGCTGATTCTAATGATTCACCTCTAGCAGAAAGGGAACCAGGAGAAATTGTGGACAGCCTGGGAGGCAAACAAGTGGAATATGTCAAAGAGGATGACTCTAGAAGGACTGGCATGGTCATTCATCAAGAGGAAGCCAAACAGTCTATTTCATCAAGTTTAATGATGATTTCCATATTTATCTCTATGATTTGGTGAAAACATCCTAGCTGTCATCATGAACTTGGCCAAATTTGTGGAACTATTCAATGTCTATTCAAGAACCAGTCTGGAACCTGGTGCCGGGTGGGTTCTGCATAATGGTGATCACACGTTCCCCTCATCCTCTGTGAGTCCCCATGCCCTCCTGGTGAGGTTGATGTCTGCTTTCCTCAGCACCACATGAGCATTTCTTCACACCACACCCTTAACTGCAGTGATGGCAGAGACCATTTTCTACTGCCCTCAATGCTGGTGTTGAGTACTCACAAAATGTGCTGGAACTTCTCAGGAATCACTAGAGACATGAGGCAGTGGCATGTCTGCCTCCTGTGGAAGAGTGTTTTGGGTTTTTTTTTAAAATCTTATTTTAAAGTTTCTGTTTTAATTTCCGATATGGTAAATAGTGCCCGAAACAACACACATATATAAAAGTTCTGAGTGTAAAAAGTTTGAGAATTACTGGACTAGAAATGATACCAGTCAATGAAATCCACAAATGTGGGAAATTCTACAATACAAACAATCTACTTCCCTGAACAAAGAAATTACAAGAGAAAAGTAAAGGGGGGAGAGGGAGGAGTAGAATCTACACATTAAAAGAGTACTAGGAAGCCCTGCTTAAAGTGTCATCCCAATATAGTAAAGTTGAGGGTTCGATCCCTGGTCAGAGCACAAGGGAATCAACCAATGAATACAAAGAAACAAAAATATAAGAAAAATTGTATGCCTTTAAAAATTGCTGAATAAGACCAAATGTTATAGTTTCTTTCTTTATCATGAATGTTGGCACTGTTTATCCCATATGTATATGTCAGTTTCTATGTATAAAAATCCTAATAAGATTTAATGGTTTGGGTCAGTCCATTTTTCTTTAACTAAAGAACTCCTAACATTCAGATTTTAAAAATGTCACTCTTGTATTTGTGTTTTAGTATGAAACACAAATATATTTCTTTATATCAAATGGGAGTCACCTGTAATAGAATCAACAATAAAAAAGAAAAAAATAGCTTAAAAACAATTTTTAAGAAAATATACCTTTTTCTCTTCTTTAAGGGTTGAATGGGAAATCAGAAGAAATAATGCATAAAATTTTGCACTCTCAGATTTGCAATAATACTTCAACATATTTTTTTGCAAGCAATTTCTATTATCAGTTAGAAATTCTGAGTTAACTATGTCTCATTCTTAAGTAATAGCATTTTAGGTCCCAAGATCTTTAATCACTGATAATTTATAGATCAAAGTTTTCCAATATGAAGATCTTGAGGATTCAGGTTTATAAAAAAATTTAAATAATACATTCCTTTTGGATCTATACTCACTAAAAACAACTAAACTCTCCCATCACTTTTTCCACAGTCCCTAGCAATATCCTACAAAGGAACTGAAAGGAGAGAAATTCCTTTGTTGCCCCTGCCAGTGCCAGGTCAGATGTCAGTTATCCCACTACTCTTTAGGACTGTGAATATCACATGTGTAAATAAAACTCAAAATTGGCTGAACCTTCTCATTTTATTGTTTAAACCTCACCCATGAGATGACTTAGATTGTGTTTATTCAACTGCAAACTATTTTCTGAATCCAAAGTAGAGAATCAGTCAAGTCAATTGTTGGGCTGCAAGAAGATAGGAAGGTCACAGGAAATCTGCAAAAGCAGATAGAAAGAAGCAAGTTCTTTCCCAAATCCCCAGTACTTCTTTCTTTAGGTAGTTCCATGGAATAAAGCATGAAATTAAGAAAATTAATAGTTTTTCCATTACAAAAGTACAACGTCTTAAAATGCTAAGCAAAGATGCCACGGTAATTGTAGAAGGTAATTATAAGCCTGATACAGAAGAATCTATTTTTTTCTCCTTTAAAAAAAATAGTTTTCCTATTTTTCCCCTAACAATAAAAACACAGGTGTCAAAAACATGCCAAACAGTGATGAACGAAAGGAGACAATGCCATTTAGGGATCACTTAATGTTTGTGTGGTCTTTCTGCTTTAATAACATTCAAATGCTCAACTACTTTTTTCCCCTTGATTTATCTTCTTTCTTTCTTCCTTTTTCTTTCTTTCTTTCTTTCTTTCTTTCTTTCTTTCTTTCTTTCTTTCTTTCTTTCTTTCTTTCTTTCTTCCTTCCTTCCTTCCTTCCTTCCTTCCTTCCTTCCTTCCTTCCTTCCTTTCTTTCTTTCTTTCTTTCTTTCTTTCTTTCTTTCTTTCTTTCTTTCTTCCTTTTTCTTTCTTTCTTTTCTTTTCTTTTTTTCTGGTTAATCCTCACCCAAGGATATCTTTCCATTGATTTTTAGGGAGAGTGGAAGAGAGAGGGAAAGACAGAGAGAAACATCAATGTGAGAGAAACACATAGATTGATTGCCTCCTGCACTCACCCTGACCAAGGACAGGGTTGGAGAGGAGCCTGCAACCAAGGTATGTGCCCTTGACTAGAATCGAACCCAGGACCCTTTGGTCCACAGGCCAACCCTCTATCTACTGAGCCAAACTGCTAAGGCTTTTCCTAGATTTTAAAAATACAACTGGAAAGATGTGACAGGCCATTAGGTAACCTATTTAATGGTCAGAATTTTAAAACATCTACATTTGTTTCATTCTCTCCCCCTCCCCCTCTTTTATTTGGTCTCAGGATTCTTTTGAAATTTGCATAAAACAAATATTTTACAGTTTAGAAAAAAATTAGTACAATTTTCTTATGCAAATAGTCAGAAATCCTGAGCTCAGCAAATTACTCAACCCAATGTACTATTATAAAGTAGTTATAGTAATTAGTACAAACATGGTGTATAGAATGTCCATTACCATGAGAAAAAAGTCATCCATGTTAAGTCTGTGGTTTTGAATACTGCCTAAAACAAAATTTGAGTTTGTTTGGGGGTTTTTTTTTGCAATTCTGTTTTTATACTTTATTTTTAGTCTAGGAAAGCATTCAGGGTTAGGAATTTCCTTTTATTCAAAAAAGAAAAAGTGGCCATTTTACTAAGAAACATGCTATTGGACCATCTGAAGCAAGTCCATCAATAATAGTTAATGCCCATTTCAGGTGTTAACATAGCTTCTGATAAAGATTCCTTACACATTACTAAACATCTGTTTCTAATTAGAGTAAATAGCATTGCTGAATTTTAGACTCAAAGAGCTGTGTGAAAGGTCTTTTTTTCATTACCTGTTCGGTCACTGAGTTAGTTACAAGTTTGAGATGTTGGATTATTATTTTTTAATCCCTCAATGCTACTCATTCATTTTGATTGTTTTGTGGATTACTCTACCTTGTATTCATCAGGTTTCAGGTATTTTGTGGGTATTTTTTTTTAACCAAAAAATGTCTAGAAAAGGCAGTATGTGGAAATGTGTTCTATCCAGATAAATATCAGTGATGGAACTGATTTAGAACTAATCAATATTTGTTAAATCTTTCAAATCTTTTTTTATATTGATGTACAGAATTGGAGAATGAGATAGCTAACTAAATCACTAACATAAAACAACTGCTTTCTGTATTTATTTATTCATTCAGTAGATAAAAGATGCTTTGGACCATTTATAATAATAAAAGCATAATATGCTAATTAGACTGGACAGCCAAACGACCATCCGGACATCATTCTGGCTGAAGCCATCTTGGCGGGGCTGAGGCAGATGCGATTAGGGGCAATCAGGCAGGCAGGCGAGAAGTTAGGGGCAATCAAATAGGCAGGCGAGTGGTTAGAGGCAATCAGGCAGGCAGGCAGAGGAGGTTAGGGGCAATCAGGCAAGCAGGCAAGTGGTTAGGGATTATCAGGCAGAGTGGTTAGGGGTGATCAGGCAGGCAGGCAGAGGGGTTAGGGGCAATCAGGCAGGTAGGCAGAGTGGTTAGGGGTGATTAGGCAGGCAGGCAAGCAGTTAGGGGCGATCAGGCAGGCAGGTAGAAGGGTTAGGCACAATGAGGCAGGCAGGCAGGATATCCTCTGAGGGGTCCCGAATTGTGAGAGAGTGCAGGCCGGGCTGAGGGACCACCCACCCACACCAACCCCCACCCTCACCCCCCGCATGAATTTCATGCACCGGGTCTCTAGTCAGTATATAATATGTGCGAGTGCAGGATATACGAAGGTGGAATCTTCCAGAGTCAAGGAGTTTATACCATTGGGGATTTTTTGCTTGTTTGGTGTGGGGTTTCTTTGGGGTGTGTGTGTGTGTGTGTGTGTGTGTGTGTGTGTGTGTGTGTGATGTATGGTGTTATTATTTTATTTACACACAAGCAGTGGGGAAGAAATTAGGAGATAGTGACCTCATTTGAACCTGAAAAATTCAGTTTGGGGAAATCATTTAGAGTATTAACCCCAGCAACTAGAGGGATCCCCCATTAACACATAGGCTTGGTAAGGTTGCCAGATTTAGTAAATAAAATTAATTACTGGCCATCCTATTAAATTTGAATTTTAGGTAAACAGTGAATATTTTTAGTATAAGTTTATCCCATATAATATTTAAGAAATATTTACACTAAAATTTTATTTGTTGTTTACCTGAAATTCTAACTTAATGGGGTACCCTGTATTTTTATGAACAGGCAAGCAAGACAAATTGCAAGTGGCAAAGAGGGGGCTGTGTCAGGGGTGACTGATGGAAATCAGCCCACAGACCATCTGCAGCACTCAAAACTTAAGCGACTGATTTATAATCTATGTTGAGGGGTAAGTATATGACATTTGTTATTTTTATAAGTGTAGACAATATCATTTTTTACAGATATAATTCACTGACTAATAACTAAAGAGAGAAAGAGCTTAAGATTGATAGTAACTCTATCAATGTCTTTGATATAAATTTAAAAAGATAAAAAAATTTAAGATAAATATAATATTCTTTTAATGATTCACAACCCAACCTTCAAGGGATCTCAAAGTTGTTCTCTTTTAAACAATGAAATACTTTTTTTTTTTACACCTAACTAGCCTGATAGAAATAAAACACTGGTATCCTAGATTTTCTCCTAACATTTAGGAACCTTTAGT